TTCTGCTATCACCACTCTATCACTTCTATCATTCACCAACACTTATCACTACAATCAAAGCAATTCTCGACTTTAACCCCACATCTCAGAAAAATATTGGAAAGCCCTGGTGGGCTGCTCGCTTATATCCAACACTAAACTTAATCAAGTTTAGATTCTTTGTGTACTGAGGAACGAACCGACTTTTCAGCATCAACGACGATTTACAAGTTTACCTTGTTCTCCAACCGCAAATCAGCAATTCTCGAGAGACGGCTTCCTTGTGTTCAGGAATCTGTCAGTCTCGTTTTCTAAACTCACAACCCCCGAATTGTTCTCTCGGTAGCAAAAGCTTCTTCGGAGGCACTCGAGAAGCAGATCAAGATGTCGGGTATCGCTTCCAAGGTAATTATTATTCTCTTAACAATCAACAATAAAATTTTCATGCAGTTTGCGCTTGACAAGATGCGCCGCAGATTCAGCCATCCATCGGGTTTCAATCATTTACGAGTTTCAAGGCTAATATGAATCAATGTAGAACCTTTACGAGCTTCTCGGTACGCACGAATTTACTCAGAAAACAATCTTTGAAGCACGAAAACTGATCAAAAATAGGCAACGACCACGAATATGATTCCGACAAGGAGCCAGAGCCACCAGTGAAGGTTGTCGATAAGACTCCAGCCCGCAACACCAAGCGCAATGCTACTGGAGAGGCACCAGCAGCCAAGGCTCCTGTAGCTGACGGACGTGGTGCTCGTCGTGGAGGATACTCCGGAAACGAAGGTGGTCAGTACATGGAAAATCTCAATATGCATATATCAATACCTCCAATATTACGGAATATTTGAGCTAGTTGCAGTGATCAATCAGAACATTAGCTAATGCTACTTTAACAGCATTCCGTGACCGTAACGCTGGCAGCGCCAACAACCAAGGCAAGCCAACCGATGACTCTGTCCGACAAGATCGTCACCCAAGACGTGAAGGTGGTGGACGTGGCCGAGGTGGTGCTCGTGGAGGCGCCAAATTCGATCGTCACAGCCGTGGTGTCGGAGGGTAAGAAATCCCCTATGATAAAAGTGGTAGCATAAAATATTGACACTTTAAAAGTGATTCCGAGAAGCAAGCTGCTCATGGCTGGGGTGCTACCGAAGGTGGTGCTGAGCTCGCTGATGAGCAAGCCGGTGAAGCTATTGCCAAGACCGAGGCTAAGGAAGATGGTGAAGCAGCTGAGGCCGCCGCTGAAGAGGCTGAGCCAGAAGACAACAGTGTCTCTTACGCCGATTACCTCGCTCAATTAGAGGAGAAGAGAGCCGCACTCAACGCCGCTACTCCTGAAGCTCGCAAGCCAGACAGCAAGCTCGACAAGAAGTGGGCCAACGCCAAGCCTATCTCCAAGGAGGACGAGGAAGACTTCGTCGCTGGAACTGGTGGCAAGGCTAAGCGTGAACGTCAACGCACTCAAAAGCAAACCATTGAGATTGATCAACGTTATGTTGAACCCACCGAACGTGCTGGTGGTAGAGGAGGCTTCCGTGGAGGCCGCGGACGTGGTGATGGAGCACCACGTGGCGACAGAGGAGGTTTCCGAGGACGTGGTGAGGGCCAACGTGGACGCGCTCGTGGCGATAGAGGCCCACCACGCCAAAGTGCCCCAAGAAACGGAGGTGCTTCTGCATCCATCCAAATTGAGGACCAATCTGCTTTCCCAAGCCTTGGCGCCTAAAGTTTCATTGAAACTGAACCTGCCGATCTTTCACAACATGGCATAACATGATATGTAGAAATGATCTCAAAAAATTTGTGTTTTACGCAATCGTTATATGAGAAACAAAAAATTTGATTAAAAAACGGGCCAAAATTGCATTGTGAACTGGTTGATGAAGGATTTTGCTCATAATGAATGTACAGAGAGGTTCTACGACTCAAAGGGACGTATTGGCTCTCAATCATGTTTCGTGATGGGATATTTCTCTTTTCCATTTTTACAACTTGTCTTTTTGTCTTTCTTTGGTCTTACCTTGCGGATGGTGATGTGACGGTCTGGGGGTGGGATTTGGTTACCTGGACTTTTCTTCGCATTTCACTTGCTTGTAACGGTAGATAAAATGAAACGGGTGTTTTCTCTCCATCTTGATTTTGGGGGTCTTGATATTTATTTGTTGCTTAGACCTTGGCTCTTTGATAGAAACATATCAATGGGAAAGGGAAGTAATGAAGTCTAGCTCGAATGTCTTTTCATCCATGAAGTGAGATAGGTGCGTAGCATGAGCTACCAATTATATGACACGCCTGCTGTTTCATGGTACATCTGATGTCCTTGTCTGTATATATGTAGTCAGCTATGGAGAAGGTATGTCCAAGGAATTTTAGATTTACAAGTCTGAGATTTCCCGAGTACATGATTATGAAAGCTTTGTTACTCCCTTTTGGCACTACTTTCAAGTCTTTTCAAGTGTATTACATAGGTGGAAGTAGAGCCTTAGTCTTTTGTCGTCTTTGGAAAAGACTAAGTACATTTCCTTATTGTGAAGCCTTTTTTCTCAACTCGGGAACGAGGATGTCCTTCTATTCATGGTCATCACACGACACAAACACATTCCAAGGGAATCCGTCAATGCTTTCGTTTGCATATCCGGTCGAGCGAAACCTAATAGCTTCTTGAGGGTGTTCGATCAGCTAGCTGGGGAAGTATGGTAAGGGGACTATGTGGCTGGGTCTGTCTGATAATGAAAGATCATGACCTAGGTGTCTGAACTCTCGCTACTGCTCATGGCATACCTTGTGTTATACTGTGAAAAGCCTCTGTATGGTCGTTGGTGTCGGTATCTATATGAGAGTTCTGTGGTTTCGACTCCAGTCATTTCCTCGATATTCAATCACATGTGTATTCCATTATCGATGTCTCCGAAAGGATTGATTGAGGGTGTGGTGAAACCAGCGCCGACATCCGCAAGTATTGGTCAAGCCTGGTGTTGGCTTGAACCCGGTGGTTTATGTGGTGGGAGAGGGATTTTCGTCTGATTCTTCTACATCACCGCCATCTTATTCCATCTAGCATTCTTCAAATTCTCCGCGTCTTGCATGTTCTATCATATAATGAAGAGGATGGGGGCATGCATTCAATCCTGCTAACATGCCGCGCTTCAAGTTCAGGGTTAGAATAGTTTTGTGGTGGGGCAAGGTGACCATTCCGGTTCGCAAAACACGCCGAGTATATATTCTATAGCAACCACAACTCTTCTACATACGACCATAGACTGAAGAGAATTGGGCATCCCGTCCGCTCTGCCATACACAAGCTTCAGATCGGTGGATTAGTAGTTGGGTGGGTGACCACCAGCGAATCCCCACTGTTGTATGTTGATTTCTTTCTTTTTGTTTTGTTGAAGGGGCGGAGACGAGGGGATATTCAGATATCGTTTTTGCCGGATTTGGCCCCTGGCAGAGGCGTCTTTTCGGCACCGCGGAAAGATACCTAGGTAGGGTGGAATGCTCCTATTATTCTATTTGGCGGCGTTGTTGATTTGGTCTTTTCTGGGAGGCATCGGTCATTTGTTTGAGTTTTGCTCCCACTGAACAATTTCTCATCGTGAGATTTCTCGTTGTATATCACGGGTGTATAGTGCTTTCAACAATTGAACGCTTGAACCTTTCTATTCTACTTCTGATGATAGAATCTTTATTTTCTGTCTACATGGATAGGAACTTCAAAATGTGTTTTACTAGGAAAGTATATACTGACTGCCGGTATGTGAGATGAGGAACCAATATTTGTAATTCTGATGTATCTAGGTGTAGGTATCAAAGGCTATATCTTGTTTTAAGGGTCTTTTGTGTATCATTTTACTTCCCTGGAATATTGCTGTAGATTTTGCATCGTGATACTGCTGATTTATGGAAAGGGGGTAAAGGGTTCTGGACTTATGATGTCGTTATGATAGAAGACTTTCAGTGTTTAACAATTTACTTAAGACTTCCTCAACGGTCACATAAGGAACGCATCAAACCCCTAAATACCTCTCTGAGACAGCACAATGTACCAACTCGTTGTTTCATATTCTCAGAGATCGCATAGCGATTAGACTTCCCTATATAAATCCCTCCAGAGATTGGTAATGAGATCAATGCATCCTCTGTTTGTTTCGAGACGATGGCAGAGCAAAACATGAGAATCTTTGCTTCACGGACTTTAGAGGTGCTGGACTCGAGGAGTTGTTTGGTTTCTGTGTTTCCAGGGGGTGATGCAGTTTAGGACATAAATATGATATGCACTCTATTGGCTACTGCCATGCGAATAGTCTAGAGTAATATAGATACAATATCAGACTGGAGAACATTTGATGACTTGCCTGGGCGGTGCTCCAAGGTGCGATATGGTAAGCCTCGCCACTGACTACAGTGTCATTCAGCTTGAGACATATATCTGGGCTTCGTGGGTGAATTCAACAGATTTGGCTCGTCTTGCTAGCCCATTGCCACCGCTAGACATATAGTGATGGTTATTGATCTTTGCATTATTTTCGTGCCGAGCACAGAAGCTCATCTTCCGTCATACTTCGGATGCTTTGAATCTATTTATATCAATGCCGTCGTTAATGAGTGCTACCTGATAGCGTCCTGTAAATCTTCTTCAGGATCTTAAGGAACCACCAAACAAACGAAACTGAAGGACTTGGGACAAATTTGTTGCCAGGGGAATTGAAGAATATGACAGAGATATGAACAGAAATGACCTGCATGAATGAGGCTGATGAAACATGCTCTAGGTAACTTTTATTCTACTTCAAAGCTCCCCCTCTAAAAACAGTCATTCGTGCTCTAATCCACGAGCTTGTCTGGGTGTTGAAACCCGCTCTTTTTGGCACTACGCATTGCCTGATTCTGCGCATTCCGATAGATTCGCAAGTTCACCAACACGGAACTAGGAGACATGGGAGTTATACCAGATGAAAAGTACGCGTGCACTACTCTTTATATGCAAAATACAAAATGTCACCATCATCGAGATATAACCGCTGCTGAACTTCCCCACCACATCTCCGGAGAAAGATGTCCCGAGTTTGACGAGGTCGAAGAAATCGATGGTAGCGACTCTGAGGATCGTCTCTCGAGAGCTTCAACTTGGAGCTCTCAAGATTTGCTATCCTCTTTCTTGTTCGTAGACGGCCTGCTTTGCGGCACCGCTCAGCCAGATCTTCGGTGAGGAATTCTCAATAATCGCTATCATCCACATGCACAACAGGAATCCATGATCGAGACAGAAACAGGTAGGGGGAGCTTTGTGAGATCATACCTAGTAAATACAAGCAAGCATCTTGACTTTGCAAAGTAAATCCTCATCTCTTCCTCACGTATCGTTTTGACTTTCTACGTCCTCTCTACTTTCCCCTTTTCCCTCATCTTCCCACAAGCAAAGATACATATACATGATACGGGTAAGGGAAAAAGCATCTCGACTATCCCTCACAAACGTTTTCATTCCATCAAGATACCAAAAGAACCCAAGATAGCTCCGCACTAACGATCATCCAACTATCGAAAGACCATGATCACCACGAGAAAAAGTCCGACATCGAATATCCAGTATCGAAGTTATACCAAAACCATTACGGGACTATGATCCTCATTCATGAAGAAACTCCTCCTCCCTCTCCCATTCTTGCTCTTTCTTGGACGTTCCAAAATCACCGTTTTCGATATCCTCAACTCCTTGATCCCTTCACTGAAAACGTATTTTGAAATCCCCGCTGGACAGCTGCGAATCAAATATTTATACTACTATTTGTCTGAGATATGGAACGTGATATCCGTGAGACCACTCGATCATAGGTTCGACAAATCATTACTCCTACGTCGAATGTTTAGTTTTCTCTCATGAAACTGAGATTCTCTTGGTAACCTTAGATTGCAGTATCCCATTCAAGAACTGTGGAAAAGGTCAACACAAGACAGTCGCCCGTCGTATAACTATCCAATTCACCCAAACCCTGAATCCAATGTCTAGACAATATAATTACAACGACAGTTTCTTCTTACCTCATCCTCTCTCATCTTTTCTCATCTGTCAATATAAACACTTACTCAAAATCGCTCTAATGCTTGGAATATACGTCTCACATCTATTATCCCCTAGCCATACCCCCCCCCAATACATAGGTATCCAATTCTTATATCCATAACCAACCCACCAGAAACACCACTCCGCCATTCGATTTTACATTTACTCCAAAACTCCACCCAGAGCCCCTCCCTTTGAGCCCTCCATCTCTTTTCCCGCATTAATATCATATGCCTTCCCAGGTTTCTTCAGTCCCTGTTCTCCATCCCCATCAATATCACCCACCACTTTCTTTTCAATTTCCTTGCGCGAGTTTTCTTCCGAGATGCGTTGCGTTTCTCTGGATGCCTCGTCGCTTTCCCAGTCGTAGTTTCCTGCGCCTCCTCGCTGTATGCATAAAACTGTCAGCTAATCCGTTCTCCACTTTCTTCAACATTGCCATCTTCCTCGTCTCAATCCCTGCCCTCTCTTCCCCCCCAAAACCTCTCTCTCCCGCAATGGCAAAAAGAAATCCCAAACTCACCCCACCCTTGTAAACAACACTCTGCATGCTACTCCTCACATTTCTCGGCGAGCTCGACGGGGGCGCGGGATTAATCGTCGGGTTATCATAATTCGTCAATGTTTGCGTGAGACCCGAATTCACGAGCGAGGCGGGAGAAGTGAGATTGCCTGCGCCGCCGCGACCGGTGTCTAATATTGAGGTGTGAGCTAGTTCTCTCTTACTTGGAATGCGAGAGCGGGGAGGAGAACAAACGTTGGTATTCTGGCGGTGGCCCAGCGGCGCCTTTGGCGCGCAATGCTTGTGAGAGTAAGGAGGGAGATTTGTTTTGCTTGATGGAAGAGGAGGAGGATTGGGCTTCGAGATCCTATGCGCGGCTTGAATTAGCATGTGTTTGATGTTTGGATTGAGTGAGGCGGGAAGGCGAAGATGAAGACGAAGCAGTTCTGAATGATGCAGGAGAGGGATGAAGAGAATACAGAGAAGAAGCTGCAATATACATACAGAAGTACCATTACTCCTCTCTACATCCTGTTTACTATAGAAATTCCCCGCGCCGCCTCGCCCTACTTTCTTATATGGTTCTTGAGACATCTCTTCTTGATTTCGCCTTTGGAATCAGTCGCTCGTTCTTCTGCGTTTGAATATATGTCTTAGGTGTAAAAAGAAGTAATTTCGACAACAATGAACGAATTATCACTATATACGATCAATTGATGGAGCAATCAGGGGTGGTCGCAAAGAAGCTGGTAAACAAGCATCTATATTCGCATCAACTCGACCCAAAAAATTATGACGATTTTCCCGTCTTTTCTTTCTTGCACGATCATAAAATCATAGATAAGATACCTAGATAAACATTTCCCACTCCTCAGACCTTGACTCATTCCATCTCCATCTTCCAAGCAATCAATTACTCTCCTAGGAATTAACTTTCTGGGCATCAACCATTTTGTTTTTTTTTCCACTCAAGAGCGAGGAGCTTCATGAACAAGTTACCTAATACCGTCTATCAATGTGAAATAGTACGCACCCGGAGATTTTGCACGCACATGCAAAGGAAGACCCTAGTGATGATCTTTTTCTTCTTTTCTGGAAATACCGAGAGCGCCGATTTGATCGTTTGGCGGGGTAATTCGTGTGAGGGGTAAATGGAGGGAGGGCAGGGCTTATTTAAGGTGCATTTGGTGTCTCTTCCAAGTAAATACGAGTGCATTCGTATAAATTTTATATACATGTGTCTTCTGACCGGAAAGGGAATATGGAATACCGTACTTTGTTACAGAATGCAAGCAAGCAGACAAGCAGACATGCAGATATACAGACAAGCAAGAATCGACAGCTACAGGATGTCAATGTCACATGTGTAGTGCAACACATTCTTATAACCATGTTATACACAATGTGCAGAAAATGTTTCCCCTCATCTCATCACACAATGGCTTGAAGAGAATTTTCGGGGTTTCTTTTTCCCATGTTTCTTCTGCAATACAATACTCTAAGCCTCTTTCCCAAGATATTTGTAAGAAGAAGTATTTGTGCACCGAGATAACGCCTCCTACGCACGCCTCTCTCCTCTCCCACCTCCTACATCGGAAGAATCCCAGCTGGATTCATCAAATACAGTATATATATCTCACCGTGTTCACGTGTGAGGTATTCCAGAGTTTTGACCTCGTGTGGCAGTCGATGCTGGAGACTAGAAAGCCGACCGAGCCGAAGGGACTCTTGGTTGATGCTGTAAGATCTTAGTAAGAATTCTGTCGGTTTGCTGTGCAGACCATATCGTTCTAGATTGTTCAGTGCGATGGTACGGGTACCATCGGGCTGTCTGGCTGCTTCCCCGAGAGAGAAGCTGAATGAGTATGTATGATAACGTCAGTGTGGATCCATTCTGCTGGTTGGAAGGTTGGAAGATGTATGGAAACGTAAAGTCAATTTCGTACAGAATACCTTTCTAGACGACGAGTGATGGCTGCTAGTATTTCACGGGGTGTGGCGCCCATGAGGTGTATCTATTGGAAGAAAAGAACCAAGTCCATCACCGCTCACCATAGCACATCAGATGTATGAATGTGTTTCAGCGATGAGACCTTACGGACCACAGAAGTAGAATATAGCTTATTTTAACAAACAAAATGATTTGAATATATGAAGTGGTCTGAATTTATGCAATAAATTGAATGTATCAAATCATCCAAACTTCAATGCCACTCGATGCCACCATCACCCCATCACGAGGGGAAGTGGAAGGCTTCACTATGGAACATCAATAACTCATCCTTTACTCCGCCAGAAGAGATATCACCCACCCCATCCCGTATGTGGTGTGCTGCCAGTCATACGGAAACATCCATGAAAGGTAACATGATCCTGCATTAGCAGCCACTATTTGGACGCCCATACATGATATTTGGAGCAAGGATGGGAATATTCTTGTGTTCTCGAAATTTCATGGAAAATACTTAATTGGAAAATGTTTCAAAAGATAATGAGGTAGGAGATTAATTGATATAGAAATATGGAGAATCTTCAAACAAAGTCATCTCTCAGAACATGTACATCACATTCAAACCATGGAACCCGTAAACTGTTCCCCAATTCCCCTTTCATGATTGAAAATGGATTATCTAGGAAGCTTGGTGGTCACAAATAAAGTCTTGGTCGCATCCCAAAATCCATCGTGTTCAATTCCACAATCCAATCCTAGAATCTCCAAGATCTCTCTTCGATTTTTCCAGAGTCACATGAAGGAAGCACCAACTGTTATCAATTAATCACTAGCCGTCGATTCCTCAGATCTCATTGGAAGTTCAGAGGTTCCTAATCCATTGCTAGACATCAATTTAGGATTTATACTCATCGAAAGGGTAAATTAACAAGCTATGGGATGATAGTCTGCTACTTATTTCCAGCTGTCCCCTCCCCGCCCTGAAATAGAATGATAAAACCCATGCGAGCCATGCCTGTAGCCGCTGCGGGAAGGCCTCATAGAAGCAATTGATCGACACAGTTCCTTCTGTTTTGTTGTTGTGGGCTTGCAGCGAATAACAGATGGGTTTTAAAGGTCGTGGGGATGGATTCTTGTATTTGTTCGATCCCTGGTAATATTTTATCCTTGAGTTAAGGAGGCTTTGCTCAATTCGCTCACACCATTGGTTTGTGTATCCAATGAAATTGTTTCAAGATACAATCTCGAGATAATTGACCAAATGTGCATCCATGAACCAGGGGATATCTGTATCTTTGTGCTAATCAGCGCGATCTATCCGTCTAAGAAAAATAAGTAGCGATGATCTTTGCCCCCTCAAAGGAGAGCATGTGCATGGTCAACCAGGTATTGAAAAGGTCTAGAACCATTCTTTCTGCACTTCCATTTGCTTCGTATAATCTTTTGTTCTCTCGGAATTCTCCCATTCTCATCCTCATCCTCGTTCACATTCACATTGTCAGAGTCGGAGTTGGAGGCGAAAAGATGAAAACGTAAGAAAAATCGAATTCGGCTGGATATTTTGTGCACGCGGGATGGTGAGTGCTTGATTTTTTGATATCAGGGACGGACGGCATGATTGATGTCTCGGCGCAGGAACAAAGATTCGGGGGATGCAAAGAAAAAGAAAGGCAGATGGTTGTACCTTACGTATGCTTAGCTGTCCACGCGGGTCATCTTACCTCATATTATCAGCCCAAAAGTAATCTTTGGGTTATCAATGTTGTAGTATGAACTTGGGAAGGGTAAAAGTTTCCCAGCGTCCTTGAAATGAAGTCGATGTCCAAATGTGTGCTGAGCTGTGTAAAGATTGATCAAATCGTTTCGGCTCGGTTCGCTCCTCCACTTGTGCAAGATGGCTCCGGGGAAAGGAATTAAAATTGCAGGACCTATTGTGAACGTATTCTAAGCAAATGCAAAAGTAATATGGGAAGCTGGAAATTTGCACATAGAAGGGTCTCGTGTTGACCGGTCTGAGGTTGATTACCTAGCGGAGGATATTTGGGTAGGCCCGGGGGTTCTTATCTCAAGTTTCTACGGACAGAATAGATAGATACGAGTGAGTAGGTGGCTTCGATGGAAATGTAAATCTGCAGTGGATGTGCAGGCCAGTGGTAGAAATACAATATGAACATGGAGTTTCGAACTGGCAATAAGACAATAAGGGGCAGATAAATGGGTAAGGGTAACCTCCTGAATCTCCTGAATATCTCCTGAAGATTTATTTCTTATCGATTCATCAAAATCTGAATCAACGTCATGGTATTCTGTATGGAGATTTAATTTAAAATAACCTTTGGTATGAGTTCATGGGGCCCATTTCACCAATATGCAAAATAATTTGTGCGTGATCGCGGCTGCGATTGCGCTTGATATTACTATCAATCCATGTTAGTTGCATCCACACTTGAAGTTATTGATATTGATAATATTGATACCAACATTTGGAAGGGGGCAAGATGTATACCCAATTGAAAAGGAGCAAAGACTTGGAGGGGGAGTCTTTTCTTTACAAAGTACCTAGTCTTAGTATACTTAGGATACTTATTCCAAAAATTGTCTAGTCTAGCACCTCTCTCTCTCTCTCTCTCTCTCTCTCGCACAAGCATAGGAAAGGAGGCGAATATTCGCAAGCCAGGCCAGGTGAGATGATCAAACCTCCATGTGAATTTTACACTGCCTCTCTACCTATGTGTTGGTTAGGTACCTACTAGGTAGGTAGATATGTCACGGATCCCTTCTAAATCTTGGTTATGGGTTAATAAGAATCAGGTATTCATTCTCCTCTATGGGTACCGGTCGATGATTTGAAAATCCCAATATCACACAGCCCTTTACTTTTAAGAATAGATTGAGTGAGTGAGGGCTTTACCTTACCTTTACCTACCTAATTCACTCAACCCATTCATTTCCTTGTTCTCTAATCCACCAGTGATCTTGTATGCATTTCGTAGGTGACACTAAAAGGCTATACATGTATGCGTATGGGTGTCTGGTGATTCTTGTTCATAGAGTAGATCAATCAATCAAGGTCAACTGAGAGGAGATTTCCCAATGCAATGAACGAATCCAATTAAATTGAATGAACAAACAAAGAAACCTCGATGACCATTCTCCTCTCGCGGCATTCTTCATTGGGGAACAAAACACATTTATTTCTTGCCTTGATTTTTTCTTATCGCAAATGATTTGTTTTGCCAAAGACTCTTGATTTCTGAATGTTCCTTCATAGCTGACATAACACACACACCGTCCGTTTCTTTGTTGCATCGCTCGTTACACATTACCTAACCATTGACTGAAAGCGACGTCTATTATATCTTGCAAGACGTAAAATAAAATTTAATTGCCATCCATGTACAATCACCTCCCTATCTACATTGACCACTGTTTCCTTCCTCTTGCTTTCCAGATAATTTAACACATTTATTTGCATGATAATTACTCACAGCCAGCGTTTAGCACTTCACAATCTTGTCACACGCACAACAATCTACCTAAGCCTTAGTACAGTGCATCAATCAACTTTCGACCTTAGCATTATTAGCTAGTATTCACTCTCACACACCACACGGTACTAAGGGGTAGGGATATCCGTGGAATAAACTAATCGACCCCCATTCATTCACCATTCGAGAAGCCTCCGACTTACGGCTTGGTCAGAATTTAGAAATACGCTCTGTACCTAACTGGGTACCTAGGTCGTAGCTGGACAACTACGAACCGGCCCCGGAACTAGAAGACCAACTAAAGTCTGAATAGTGGGACGACTCCATTAAATCGAAATCGAAATCGAATAATATCCTGTCGATACTGCCTAGTAGGTGTAGTACCTACTACATACTAGATACCTCAGATAGTACCATCGACCCGAGCCTATCTACCTCCTTACCTTCTAGGGCGGCCGTAGATACCGGTATCTACATCTACATCAACATCAACAATTTACAACACTCAATAATAAACCCAGTGATCCTATCAAACTCAATTCCGATTTACCATTTTCTTTAGTTACCCTTCAGACCCTGGTCCAACCAGTGATTCATCACCTCCCTTCCCCCCCCCCAAAGAGAACACACATACGACAGAGAAGGAAAGTGGAATCCCCAGGAAGGAAAAGGTAAAGACTAGCAGCAAGCAACCAAGCAACGAGGCAACCTAAAATTGGTACCAGATCGACTGTTACCGCAACTTTTTTTCCCCTTCCCAATCTTTCTGGATATTTCTACAATTGTGCACAATTTCAATTTGCACAATCCCTCAAATCTACATAGGAAGTTATAGCAGACATTCATTTACTCGATTTCGGGGCAGAAAAAGAAAGAATAACAAGCAAGAGAGCTTGACCATTTACACTTGTCATCTTCCACATATAAACATATATCTTCATCGAAACATTTAGCACAACAAGTCTCTCAGTGGCCTCCAA